AAAAAGTTTAGGGTCATATCTCCTAAAACAAAACATTAGGGTCATTTTTGCTCCTTTTCCCTTTCAAATAATAATCAGAAGGTAATGTTAGTTATTACATCCATCGTAATTGTAATAATACTTAGAGCATCTCTAATGCTACAACGTGCACATTGCACATGTAACATACTGACATGAGAGATAGCCACATAAATTTTAGCAAACAAATTATCTCTCTCCTTATTTAAATGATTTTATACCATTTTGGTAAGTTTTTCTTCACAATGTTAATAACATCGTCTAGATGTTGAAATTGTGATTGACACTGCAGAGAAAAACTTACCAAAATTGTAAAAAATCATTTAAATGAGGAAATGTATAATTTATTTGTTAATATTTATGTGGTTATCTCGCATATCACATGTGTACCGGATACATTGTAACATTTGAGATGTTCTCATTTGAGTCCGTAATAATTAGCTAATTTCTAGTCAATGTATGATTTCATAAAGCTGAATAACATGGATTGCATACTTTTTTCAATCTTCCATGATGCGGTGATCCAAAATTTATGTAAAAAGTAAAATTTCCATGTGTAAGGACAAAGAGCCGTTAACCATTTCGCTATATTCCAATGTCAACGACCAATACGGGTAAATATAGTTATAGAGTTATAGAGTGGTGAGAATTTTTCATCGAGAGGTTTGGTACTTTGTTATAGAGATTGGGAGCCCATTTGGTGACTCATTTTTTCAGTATATCAGGCTTATCAGTTAGCATTTTCACTAAACACGTAACTTTTGATTTCATGCGCTGAATTTTGTAAGAAGCAGAAAAAAGTAAGGTTGACGTTACTTTTCTGACTGTATTGACTGAAGTTATTATAGATTTCATTTTAGCTATTTTTCAAGTAATTTTTTTATTTAATTTATTAACAACAAATATTTTAAATATAATTTTTTCATGAATCGGCAGAATTAGCCAATACAGCCACTTCAGCCAAAATTTCATAAATTTTAGCAGAATCAGTCAATTCAGTCAATTTTAGTCTTACCAATTTTAGTGTTTTTTTACTGTATTTCTGTCTTCAAATGTAATTTTATCTTCCTTTTCTTTTCTGATAAACAAACACGATCTCAGCCACAGCCAAGGCGGCTTTATCTTCTTTCTTTTTCATTATAATTGTTGGGCAGCTTTTATTAATTTCAGTCTCAATTTCAGGAACAGAGACTGACCGTTTCTAACCTCAAAGTCATCGATCGACTCACTAAAACCGATCACTGGTATCTCATCTTCTTCTACCCTCACTCTCTCTCTTGCTTAACAATGGAGAGATTCATTCTTCTCCCCTTCTCTGTTTTCCTTTTCTGCACTTTTTCCATAGCCACCACTAATGGAGCACCAAAGAAAACTTATATCATCCAAATGGATAAATCAGCTAAGCCGGAGGTGTTCACCGGCGGCCACGGAGACTGGTATTCGTCCCTCGTGAAATCTGTAGTGTATGAGAAACAAGAAACAGGGGAAAGCTCCGGCGAGGAAAGGGTTCTTTACAGCTACCAGACCGCATTTCACGGCGTCGCTGCTCAGCTGACAGAAGAAGAGTTGCAGAGGCTGGAAACGAAACACGGAGTCTTGGCGGTGTTCCCGGAGACCGTTTACCAGTTACACACCACCAGAAGCTCTCTGTTTCTCGGGCTTAGTAACCGGAAAGATTCCAAGAATCCATGGGCAGGGAAGCTGTCGAACAGCAATGTCGTGGTCGGCGTGCTCGACACCGGGATTTGGCCCGAATGCCCGAGCTTCAATGACACCGGAATGGAAGCCATTCCAGCTCACTGGAAGGGCGAATGCGAGATCGGCAGGGGTTTTAAGAAACAGCACTGTAACAGAAAGGTGGTCGGCGCCAGAGTGTTTTACCAAGGGTATGAAGCTTCTTCCGGTAAGATCTCGGAGCAAGGAGAGTACAAGTCGCCGAGAGATCAGGACGGCCACGGCACTCACACGGCGGCGACGGTTGCAGGGTCGCCGGTCCGTGGGGCGAATCTGAACGGCTACGCTTATGGCACCGCCGTAGGGATGGCCCCCGGCGCGAGAATTGCGGCTTATAAAGTCTGCTGGAGCGGAGGGTGTTTCAGCTCCGACATCCTCTCCGCCGTAGATCGGGCCGTGGCTGATGGGGTAAATGTTCTGTCCATCTCCTTGGGCGGCGGAGTTTCATCCTATGGCAGAGACAGTTTATCTGCAGCTACTTTTGGAGCCATGGAGATGGGGGTTTTTGTCTCGTGTTCTGCCGGGAATAGCGGTCCCGAGCCGATTACCCTCACCAATGTGTCTCCGTGGATCGCCACGGTCGGAGCCAGCACCATGGACAGAGATTTTCCGGCAAGGGTTAGGATAGGGACAGGGAAAACTTATATCGGAGCTTCACTCTACAAAGGTCAAGAGAGTCTCTCTGTTGAAAAGCAGTACCCTTTGATTTACTTGGGAAACAACAATTCTAGTCCGGCACCAGGCTCCCTCTGCTTGGAGGGCGCATTAGATCGCCGTGTCGTGGCCGGGAAAATAGTGATCTGTGACCGCGGAGTTAGTCCCCGGGTTCAAAAAGGCCATGTAGTGAAGAATGCAGGTGGAATAGGAATGATCCTGTCAAATACCGCAGCTAACGGGGAGGAGCTAGTTGCTGACAGCCACCTCCTCCCCGCAGCCGGCGTGGGAGAAACCGCAGGCAAAGCAATCAAGAAGTACGCGTCATCCACTCGGAACCCAACCGCTACCCTAGAGTTCTTAGGAACCAAAACCGGAGTCAAACCAGCCCCGATCGTGGCTGCATTTTCATCTAGAGGGCCAAACATCCTATCACTCGAGATCCTAAAGCCCGACTTCGTGGCTCCTGGAGTAAACATCCTTGCTGGCTGGACGGGCGATCTCGGCCCGTCTAGTCTACCGACCGACACACGAAGAACGAAATTCAACGTTCTATCGGGAACGTCGATGTCTTGTCCACACGTCAGCGGGGTTGCGGCTCTTCTTAAGGCGAAGCACCCGGAGTGGAGCCCAGCGGCAATTAAATCTGCACTGATGACAACAGCTTACATTCATGACAATACCTTCAAGAATCTCATTGATGCTTCTACTGGGAAAGAATCAACGGCCTATGATCATGGTGCGGGCCATATAAACCCGTTGAAGGCTGTTGATCCCGGGCTAATCTATGACATCACACCTCAGGACTACTTTGATTTCCTATGTACTCAAGACCTTGAACCCTCCCAACTTCATGTTTTTGGAAAATTCTCCAATAGAAGCTGCAAACACACAATCTCAAGACCCGGGGATTTGAACTATCCTGCCATCTCAGTTCTTTTCCCGGAAGACAGCAATGTTTCAGCCGTGACCTTTCGTAGGACAGTTACCAATGTGGGGCCTCCCATCTCAAGTTACCGCTTGGCGGTGTCGGAGTTCAGAGGCGCAACCATCAAGGTTGAGCCGAAGAGACTCAACTTCACTAAGAAACTGCAGAAACTGTCATTTAAGATAACTTTTATCAGAAAAGTGCCTCAAACAGGTCCTGAATTTGGAAGTATGGTATGGAAAGATGGAAGCCATAAGGTTAGAAGCCCTATCATAGTCACATGGCTAACACCTCTATGATTGAATGCCCAAGTGTTCAGCCTGAATGAATGATCAAAAGCCCAAAATAAGGATTCTGTATTGACTATGATTTATTAGCTTCTATAGTGTTTTCCCATATTGTTTTTCTTCAAGTTCTGCTACAAGTTTTTCATTATTAGCTACAGAGGTCCATATTTAAATAAGTTAGAAACATCAATAATAACTTTTGCAATATTCCTCAATTAGAACCAATTAGTACCAAATGACAAGGAAGGAAATATAGGGGAACTTTGTAAAGAAAATAATTGATTTATGATATACCCGAGTATGTCAAAATATTCATTTTTTATTTGTTTATATCATATACTATTATAAGTATTCTTTTTGGGAAACACTGACATACTAGTGTATCTATTTACAAGTATGACCAACCTTTATTCCAATAGATTCAAAATTGTGACCTCTAGCCAGAGTGATGTTATTGGACTAAAGATTGTTGATATCACTTAAAGACTTAAGTGTGTACAAGCAAAATCATAATCAGTTTTTCAGAATGCAGTCTCCCTCAACTTCTAAAAACTTGTTTCTACGAGTAATTGAAGCACTTATACAAACACAAACACTTTAACATCTGTTGTTTTTTTGTAAAGGAACATCTGTTTTTACTTCCTGAAAGAATCGAAACAGTTTTAAGAAGTAGATTCAAACACTCCTTTAATAATGTAAGTCGTTTCTTTAGAAAAAAAAGTTTTGTTAGTGAAGGAGTAAGGAAAAGTACAGAAGGAAAGACAAAAAAAAGGAAAAACATGAAGCAGAAAGAAACAAGATCAAAGAAGAAGAAAAGATAAAAACTAACCAATCCGAAGTACAACAAAGAACCCTCACTTAGCCTTAAAAGCTCAATCAATTCGGCAGAACTCCATATGTTTGGAGTTTTCTACTTAGCTTCGCTCTTAGGCTAACACTATCATTTGATTCCTGAGTAGTCATTATGTTAGTGTTTTAATGGAAAACTGGAAAGTGAATGTATATAAGTATTTAATTACAATCACAAACACCATGGCTAACACTAAGCATAGATTGTATTTACTAGTCATGAACTCGGAGTTGCATAAAAGTAGGCAAAAAAAGGAAAAAAATGTATCAAACCGGATAGGTCATTGGCCCATTTCGAGAATCACAGGAATCTGATATTCTACTTGCTCATTTCATCAATAAATGGTTTGATATGGTTTGAAAGTCATCTACTTTCCTCCTCTTTTCCCCTATTTCTTCTAAACAATTACATACAATAAGCCCTTGTTTAGAGTTGAAGCCGAAATAGGAAAAGTATACTGAAATCTGAAATCTTTAAGGAGAGGAAAAAATAATAGAGAGAGACCAATATATGCATCTATTGCTTTATCTTTTCAATATATAGGACCAATTTTTATATTAAAATCGAGAAAATATACAAGATAATATCATACAGTTATGACAGATTCAATAGTGAGCTCTATGAATAGACATAGAATCAACCACATCATACAAATCAACCTGATTCGTTAGACACGAAACATGCAATTTAAAGCCTGAAAGAACTGGGACTGAAATACTGTTTATCAAACGAACACCAGAAGTCCAAAGTTTCAAAGCAAAACTACTCACACTAAAATAAAAACAAGTACTACTAATGGAAACATAAAATTGAAATAAAGTCTTTCCATAAAACTCTTCATGACACGAAGGTCGTTCTGAAGGAGAACAAGCTCTATTAGTGTCTACGCACTCTAAAAAGGTAGACAGAAATTCCTGACCAGATAAGGTTAGGAGAGACACCAACATAATTCCCCACATCGAGAGAGACAAAACATCCCGGAGCACCAGTGCCCTAGAAAGAACCGCCATAGAACAAAATCAACACAACCAGAATAGAAGAACAATCCAATTAGATCATACCTCTACCAAGAATATTTGAGCATTGATATCACCATCAGATAGTTTGGATCACTGCATCATTGTTGCCAGAAAAGAGTAAGGCCATAGACAACGAATCCTCCCTCATTTGTCGCGAACGATCGAAACGGATTGAAAGACGTCGCCTTTAAACTTCTCGCTACTAGGGTTCTCTCGCTCCTAAGGGCAGATTTGATGCGCCTACGAGTGAGTATGAAGCCGACGAAGAGGAGTAGCGGCACCCTTTCCTTCCAATTAGCCTTACATATATTGCTTTTTGTTTTAATCCCGGGGGGCATCGGGGGAGGGGGGTTTGGGGGCCTAGGATAAACTAGGATTAAACTCACTCCATTGAGAATTGAACCTGGGACCTCTCATAAGGTAGAGTGAGTCGGCGACCAGCTGGGCTGGACCGTTTCCTCGCCTTACATCTATTGCTAATAATCCATAACAATTGTTTTTACATTAATGAGAATACTTGAAAGTCTAAATATACTTAAACATTTGTAGACATTCAATTGTTCCAAAGGTGGAATCTCCCAACTCAGGAGCCCCCACACCAATCCGATAGAATGGTGAATTAGTAAATCACGGTGACTCAATCGACCCAATGGTGACATTTGTAAAGTTTCAGAAATATATAGGCAATACACCTAAGACAGTAGAACTTTAAATAAAAAAGGATTAGGACAACAATATTACTAAAAAATAACTATTGGACAATAAAGATTTTTTTTAATTTCCAAAAATGAGACGAAGAAACTGAAGACATTATTACAGTCTTCTTATTAAATCCAGTTGATCCGTTACAGTGACCAATTTCAGAATTACTCCATCTTGCAGTGTCCAATGTCTTTGTGGCCACTTGAACAGTGACCAGCGTTACCGCCAACAACAGTAATCATGCCGATGAAAGTGACCCCCACTGACAAGTTACACTTACAACAGCCTCGGTGACAAGTGACAGACAATTCTCTGCCAATGACAATCGCTTTCCGCCTCCCATTGTCCAATTGACAGTGACAAATTAAAGTGGCTGCCATCGGCCAATAGTGACCGCGCCACCATTAGGCCACCACCGCCCTTGATATTACAACCCCCACCACTCCACCATTGTCTTGAGCGCAAAGGCAACCCTCACCCCCATCATTCCAGCCCCAACCCTCCCCCTGGACGAAGCTCCATACCCAGCTTTCCTTGCACCATCCACCATCCTCTACCATGGTCCCAACAACCCCACCAGTGTCCAACAACGCCTAATCCTAATCACCACACAACAACCACCTAAATCGTCATGAAATTAGCCTCCGTTGTCGTTCAATTTGCCAGAACTCGTCGTGTATCGGCTCATAGAGAATGGGAAGAAGAAGAATATGATAGAACACTGGTAGTTAGAATGCTAACTAACTGTCTGATAAGGAGGAAGAGGGAAAAGAATTTTTATTCAGTATTGAACTCCACACATACATCATATGTGTACTACCCTTTATATGGGAGTAGTCACGTGCACTATACTCACTACACATGCACACACACAATATTAAAAACACATTTGAATTACACATTTTATCATTCCCCCTTAATTCAAACTTCTACGCAAACTTCATCAGCTAATAGCTTGAACTCCAAGCCTGTCTCGAAAATCTCTGAATTTATTGTGCTGAAGTGCTTTAGTAAAGATGTCTAAAACTTGATCATCACTGCTGCAATATATCAGAACAAGTATCCCTCCCTTGACCTTTTCCCTTAGCCAATGATACTTAGGTTCTATATGCTTGCTCCTCCCATGAGCAACCGGATTCTGTGCAAGATTAATAGCTGATTTATTATCAACTAGAAGCTGAAAAGCCTCCTGCTCTTTGCCAATGATCTCACCCAATAATGCTCTTAACCATACTCTTTGACAAGCTACATATGCTGCAACCACATATTCTGCCTCACATGTGGACAAGGACACCTTTGGTTGCTTTCTAGAACTCTAGGATATCGTAGCTCCATTGAGCCTAAATGCATAACCTGTAGTACTCTTTCTTTCTTCAGTGTCTCCCTTCCAATCTGAATCTGAGAAACCCACAAGACCTTCATTCTCAGACAGTATATTTTTAGGATACCAGATTCCCAAATCTGCAGTACCCTTAAGGTATCTTAGGATCCTTTTAGCAGCTATATAATGAGAGTGCTTAGGAGTCTGCATATACCAACATTGAAGGCAATATCGGGTCTAGTATTGCAAATAAACCTTAAGGAACTAACCATACTCCTAAATAAACCGACATTAACATCCTCCTTTTCTTCACACAATCCCAGTTTCATTTTGGGATCCATAGGAGTGTTTGCGTGATTGCATGTTGTCATCTGAAATCTTTCAAGTACATCAACAATATATTTGTTCTGATTTATGAAGATTCCACTATCTTCAAAACAGAACTCCATCCCTAGAAAATAAGCAAGTTGACTTAGACCAGTCATGTCAAATTCTTGCTGCATCTGGCTTTTAAAGGCTTCAATCTTTTCAGGAGAGTTACTTACTACCAAAAGGTTATCTCTATACAAGCTCAACACTACTATATCATTTTGTGATCTTCTGACATATACTCCATGTTCACTGACACATATCCTGAAGCCAATCATCTCTAAGTAGGAATTTATCTTCTTATTCCAAGCTCTTGGAGCTTGTTTTAACCCATATAACGCTTTCCTCAGTCTAAGTACTTTATCCTCAGCTCCATGCTGCACAAAACCTAGTGGCTAAGTAACATAGACTTCACATTGAGGAATGCAGATTTCACATAAAGTTGAGCCATACTCCAACCTTTATTACAAGCTAATGCCACAACAAGTCTTATTGTTTCAATTCTGGCCACAGGAGCAAATACCTCAAAGTAATCTAGGCCTTCTTTTTGCAAGAAGCCTCTAGCCATCAACCTGACCTTGTACTTTGATACTGAACAATCAGGTCTGAACTTGGTTTTAAAAACCCATTTCACACTAATAGGTTTCTTATCTGATGACAATGTAACTAGTTCCCAAGTAGAATTTTTCTCTATTGCAGTGATCTCCTCTTTCATTGCATTCTTCCATTCAGGTTTTGTCAAAGCATCCTGCCTGTCAAGAGCTTCACACTCAACTTGTAAAGCCAGATGTAATAACTCACCAGCTTCATTTATCTCTGAATCATCATACACCTCATAGCCAGTCAGTCTTGTGGAAGGCTATCTGATTCTTTAAGACCTCTCAACTTGAGTTATCACTTCATCATTGTTGTTAACCAACTGCTGGTTCTCAATAATCATCTCAGAATCATCTTCAGAATTCATATGAACCTGTCTCACATTGATCTTATCTGGAACTCTCCAATCCCAGATCGGCAACTCTTCAAACACAACATCCTTGCCAATAGCAAAGCTCCTCTTCACAGGATCAAACAATTTATAAGCACCTGCTGAATGATATCCAATAAGTATCATTGGAACCCCTTTATCATCCAGTTTTCTTCTCTTCTGATCAGGAACATGCTTGTAACACAAGCTTCCAAAAAACTTGAGATGTTTCACACTTGGTCTCACTCCACACCAAACTTCATCAGGTACTTTCTCCTCTAGCTTCTTTGTAAGACTTTTGTTTAGCAGATAAACTGCTGTATTAGCTGCGTCTCCCCACAAGAATTTTGGAATATTCTTCTCCCTAAGCATACACCTGACCATATTAAAAATAGTCCTATTCCTCCTCTCAGCAACTCCATTATGCTGAGGGGTATAGGGAGCTGTTATTTCATGTATAATACCATGCTTTTCACAAAACTTCTGAAAATCAGCAGATGAATACTCCCCTCCACCATCAGTTCTAAGAATTTTAATTGAATTACCACTTTGTTTTTCAACTAAATTCTTGAACTTAATGAATATACTTAGCACATCACTTTTAACCCTTAGCATGTTATCCATATCATTCTACTGTAATCATCTATAAACGTAACAAAATACTTGTTACCTCCCAAAGTAATTTGATCAAATGGTCCACAAACATCTGAAATACCACATTCAACATTGTAGATGATCTAACAGGAAGAATGTGTTTATAAGACTCTCTGTGTTGTTTGCTTACTGTACACTCTCCACAAATTGTTGCAGGCAGACTAATGTGAGGTTTTCCAATCACCATCTTCTTATTATGTAGCAGCTGCAGACTTCTGAAATTGAGATGCCCATATCTAGCATGCCATAACCAGTTTTCATCACAAGCTAAAGTGGTCTTCAAACTCTGTACTTCTTTAGTTTTGATGCATGCCTTGAAAGTCCTATTTCTGGATAATGGAACTTTAAGCAACAGAGTGTCATCTGAACTGTATAGTTCAAGCTGATTGTGATCCAAAATGGCCTTGAACTTCTTCTCAACCAACTGTCTCAGACTCAAAAGATTACATCTTATGCTTAGAACATAAAGAACTCCTTCAAGAATCAACCGCTTACCATTCTTCCTAGTCATGACCACATCACCTATCCCTTCCACATTAATGGCACTCATATCAGCAAATTTTATTGTGCATCTCTTCTTCTCATCAAAATATGCTAACCAAGACTTATTTCCTATCATATGGTTACTACAACCAGTGTCAAGACACCAGATATTGCTATCTTATGGTTCTTCACAAGTAGTAGTCATCAGCACTACAAGCTCTTCCTCTTCTGAATCTTCTTGTGCAGCTGCAAATGCTTCTTCTTCTTCAGATTCAGTGTTTTTCTTCTTGTTTTTTGGTCTATTACCCTTTCCTTCACCAAACCAACACTCATCTGCAAAATGTCCCCATTTCTTGCAGTTATAACATCGAATATTGCTTTTATCTAATTTCTTCTTTTCTTTTGTCTTTACTGAATCAGGAAGATTTTTCTCAGAATTCTCATCATCTTTCACTTTCTTATTCTTACATTTCCCTTTACTTTTAGAACCTCCTTTCTTGACATCAAACTTCTTGTAATTTCGGGCTAATAGGGCTTGTTCCTGCTTTTCCTCATCATCCCTCTCTATCAGTTTAAGTTCATGAACTTCCAGAGCACTTTTCAGTCCTTCTACAGCTATATGATCAAACTTCTTGACCAAAGTCCGCATCACCTTTTCATTTATACCAGAATTTTTAATCTTTGCACCACACCTTTGCATTGCAGTCACATGATTTACAACTCTACCAAAGTATTCTTCAATAGTTTTAGTTTCTTGCATCTTTAAAAACTCAAATTGGCGCTTCAGAGATTGCAACCGTACCTTATTAACCTTCTCATTTCCAATATGACACTGTTCCAAAATCGTCCAGGCCTCCTTGGAAGTCTTCGCAGCAGATATCTTCTGAAAGTGAGCTTCATCCACAGATTGATGAAGAATGAAGAGTGCTTTGATATCCTTCTTGTAAGCCTCGCGGAACGATCGCCTTTCAGTCTCACTGGGATTCTCGCCAAGTGCAGCGTATCCATCCTTAATCACCTCAATTACATCTTGGAATCCAATGATCACTTGCATTTGAATCTCCCACCTATCCCAATTCTTCGCATCAAGAATTGGTAGGTTGCCAAAGAAATTTCCTGGACGAATTTGACATGGCAACTCCTTCGTCTTAGGGTTCACCAGATCGTTGAATCGAAGCAATTACACAGGTGCCGAGGAACGTGGAGCTCTGATACCAGTTGATAGAACACTGGTAGTTAGAATGCTAACTAACTCTCTGATAATGAGGAAGAGGGAAAATAATTTTATTCAGTATTGAACTCCACACATACATCATATGTGTACCACCCTTTATATGGGAGTAGTCACGTGCACTATACTCACTACACCTGCACACACAATATTAAAAGCACATTTGAATTACACATTTTATCAAAATAGGCGGGTGGTAGCAAACTGATAGCATATGTGCGGCAGAATGTGAAGGGTGAGGCCGAAGATGCGAGAGTGCAAACGAGATGCGACACTATGGTGACGATGAACAAGCAACAAATCCATTTAGAAGATTTAGAAAATTAGAAGTGGACGAAGAGAAGACGGTGGATTGATATGGTCGATCGAAAGTATTTGACCAAAAGAGAGCTGATGTTTCGTATAATCATGGGTGTTCAAGTCCATTCAATTAATTTAGTCTTTTTTTGTCTAGTTACATATCTGATCCTTTTTATTTTCCTGTCTATGTTTGTCATTCTCTCTACATCTAAACTTATAAAACCAACAATTTCTAAAAAATTTGTCACTACCTTCTCATGTAGAGTACACCCCAAGTATATATTCAACTATGTTGATAAAATATAAGTAGCATGGAAACGGGAAATAGGAAATGGGAAACGCGAGAAACATGATTTCTAGAAAACATATGATACAAAACGTGGGGGAAACGCGTAAATATTAAAAAAAATACAAGGATATATTTGTATTTATTTTTTCACATATGTACACAATTTTTTTCATTTATATATGCACATGAAATTTTCATATAATTAATTTGCTTAATAACCCAATAGTAAAAACATTCTAAATGTTCAAATTTAGAAATAATTACATATTACGTAGTATTACATAATTAGACATAGGATGTAATTCATTTGTAGCAATGTGTTGTGTTATGAAATGCCATAATGTTGCTACAAAGAAATAACTCAAAATATCATTATTTTGTTAAAAAAGACACTATTTTTCATCACATGACGTGTTAAAAAAGAAAAAGGAAATCCAGGGCTTTTGAAATGCAAATTATTTAAAGAAACGGGTTTCCCAATTCTTCTCAATTATGGAAACGGCCCCAAAATGAGAATTTGAAGTTTCTGAGTTTTCAACACGCTCCAAAGTTTCAGTGCTTCATAATGAAATCATTATGTGCATCACAACAACAACCATTTTTTAACACCAGGGGGCGTCAGCTGAGCTGGACCGCTTCCTCTACACCAACAATCATTTATACATAAAATTGATACAAGTACAACAAAAGAAAATAATGCGTTTCTATCACATTATTTTTTACAAACAATCTCACACATTCTAATTTGGATCGATCTCCAAAAAGTCTAATACTTTCTTAGTCTAACACTAATTAATTTGATCGTTAGATCTTGGGAGATCTTAGTCTCTACATAGGAACAAAAAGTTAGATCATAAAAAATGTGAGTATTATTCTTCATTTCTTTTGGAACCTATAAAAGCTAATCGCATTTTTGCTCCTGTCTACTTTATTAACTCATATTTATGGCACCCTTTACCGAGAATACTCAACGCCTTGAAAGAGAAGCGGCACAGACCCCCACCAGCATTACTACCCAACCGTCCATTGGTTCTACTGTACCATTCTTCACACTTTTGCAGCCAACGATGATTAGTTCTCTCTGCTTAATTCCCACACTCTGATACCATGCCCTCACGTGATTTCCCTTCCTCGCCGCCGCCGCCGCCGCCGCTGCGGCCTCAGGTCGTGCACGGTCAGACCCACCGCCTTGTACCTCTGCTCGCTGTAGGAATAGCCGCCGCCACTTCGGTGCTCTTAATTTTCACTTTCTGCTGCCGTAAATTTTCAGGCAAACGGCCAATCCCTTCCCCCGCAGATACAGTACAGTCCAAACCTCCCCACAGGTTCTCCTACGCCGCCCTCCGCCGCGCTACTTCCAACTTCGACCCATCTCTCCGCCTTGGGCAAGGCGGATTTGGGTCCGTTTACAGAGGCGCTCTTAAAGTCTCAGGCTTTCAACCCGATGTCCCCGTCGCCGTCAAGGTCATGGATGCGGGATCCCTGCAAGGAGAGCGTGAGTTCCAGAACGAGCTGTTCTTTGCCGGAAAACTCGACTCCGACCACATCGTACCCATCATCGGCTTCTCCTCCGATCAGAAGTGTTGCCGGATGGTCCTGGTGTACGATCTCATGGCCAATGGAAGCTTGCAAGACTGCCTATTGCACCGTAAGTGTAGCGAATTAAAGATTTGGAAAAATAGGTTTACAGTCGCGCTTGATATAGCTAAAGGGCTTGAGTATTTGCATCATTCTTGTGACCCCTCTGTGATCCACGGTGACATTAAACCAAGTAATATATTGTTAGATTCTAATTTCAAGGCCAAAATTGGGGATTTTGGTCTGGCTAGGTTAAAACCCCAGCAGGATCATGTTGAAATTGAGGTGAAAAAGGAGGGTTCTTTGGGGAATGTGGAGGATGATATTGAAGAAACGGAGAGTGTCACCACCACTACCAATGGGTTTGAGGAATTTCATGGAGGACTGGATTTATCTCCTGAGACACAAGTAGTTTCCCCAAGGACAGTGGCAGCAATGGCATCACCGCCCGATGGATCTTTAGGTAATTTTGACGGGTTCAGTGTGGAAAGCGGGAAAGAAACGAGTGACAAAAAGAAGAGTAGGTTAAAGAAGAGTGTTTCAAGAAACGACTGGTGGTGGAAGCAAGATACTGCGGGGGTGGATTCGGGCAGGCCGGTGAAGGATTATGTAAAGGAATGGATTGGAAATGAGATCAAAAAGGAAAAACCGACTAGCAGTGAGTTGATAGGTGGGGCTTCATCAAGCACCAAAACAGAAAAGAAAAAGAAAAACCGAAAGCGGTCAGATTGGTGGGTATCCATGGAAGATGAAAAAACAACCAAAGTGGGGAAGAGGAGACCAGCCAGAGAGTGGTGGAAGGAAGAGTATTGCGAAGAGCTCCAAAGAAAAAAGAAGAAGAAAAAGAAACAAGGGAAAAGCTGTAATGATGCTACTGGTGGTGAGATACCTAGTAGGAAGAGCAGCAGCATGGATTGGTGGTTGGATGGAATTAGTGGTGATCTATGGAGAGCCCGAAGGAACAGTTATGATTCTGTTGCTTCTGGTGAGATACCTAAGAGTGGCATAAGTAGCACGCCGAGCATGAGAGGAACGGTGTGCTATGCTGCACCAGAATACGGGGTCTGTGGGGATCACCTTTCTGAAAAGTGTGATGTTTACAGCTATGGAGTTTTACTGTTAGTACTCATTTCTGGGAGGCGACCACTTCAGGTCACCGGTTCCCCAATGTCGGAATTCCAGCGTGCAAATCTTCTGTCGTGGGCCCGTCATCTCGCCCGGGCAGGAAAGCTACTTGATTTAGTTGACCAGTCTGTGGAGTCGTTGGTTAAAGAAGAAGCTTTGTTGTGTATCAAGCTGGCTTTGGTTTGCCTGCAGAAGTCTCCTGCAAGACGTCCATCAATGAACGAAGTGGTGCGCGTGCTTTCCGGCGAGTTGGGACCACTGGAGCTACCGGTTGAACTTTCTTCATCACATGCCTCCCGGTTTGGGTTCAAGAAAGTCCGGTGAGTTTCTTTGGTTGGAAGCCACATTTTTGTGATGAGAACATATATGTAAAGAACAAAAATGAGAGATGGAATATAACTAACAAATCATACAAGTAATTGAACCGCACCGTGTATTAGATGCGCATTGACTAGATATTTTGTTGCATAGAAGTTATCTTGGATGGTAAATGACAAAGCCATGAAAGTTTTGGAATAGAGCCTTCCTATTATATTTATACTGTGAATGAATGACAAAGGTATTAAAGTTTTTAATGCTTTGCAGGTTTATGAAATAACAGCTTAGCTTGAAAAAAGAATTGTTTGTTTGTTTTGGAGGATGAGCTAATAATGTTTTGGCTAATGAGTATGTGCTTCAAGTTGAATTTTACCTTTATTTGAACAGGATCCTCTACTCGGGGGAGGATCTACTTGTAGGCTATGGTGGGCTTAAGGCCAGGGAACTCAATTTTTTTAGTGAAATTTTTTCATTTTTCATATTTTGCCCACCCCGCTAATGTTTAAACATACGGAGTAGTATAATTGCTTCAGCCCAGAGCATCTCAATTTTTGGGATCCGTCCTTTTTTGTACATCTGCTGCTTCAATGCACCTTTACAAAAGCTGATATTGGGGTGTGTTATTGGATGATTGAAGGGGTATAGATAAAGTGTTTAGCTCTTTCAGTAAGTAATGTTTTGTGGTTTAACTCTTCTCAATGTTAGGATTCATCATAAATGGAACTGCTTTGTTTCAGTGTAAATAAAAATTTCAAACTTTAGGGTCCAATCTTCTTAAGGCTAATGACCTTGATCTTGGTTTGAACTTTGAACACAACTCAAGCCTATTTGAGTATTTGTATCTTAAGTTCAATTCTTTGGACAAGTTTGAACAAGTTTCCTTCAAATGTCAAAGTGAGCCAACAACCTGAACATGACTTAAAGCCGTTAAAGGCAACGGTTTGCCATGGTTTTCTCGAAAGCACACATTTTTGTGTCTATGAAACATTAATTTATTTAAAACGACTGGTAATTTTTTTATCATCAAAACAAGCCTCTATTCATATCAAAAAATTCAGAATCATTACATCAAGCAAAGGGAAAATAAAGCTGACACCAATTGAAACTCCAACAACTATGACTGTAACCCTATGGTGAGACTTTGAGACGGTCACCCCTGAAAGAGCAACATGAATCGCTAACCATGTAGTGAGCTTGACACAGCCAAACATGATAAAAATAAATGATAAACAGATAAAAATTACTATGAAAACTTTCACGGATTCTAGCAGCTCGTACAACCCATGGTGGTGGTTTAGGCGGAGGTCGGACCGTCGCTCGATTGATACCCTCTTTCAGTGGCGTACCCGCCGTATGATCCAAATTCATGCCATCGAATGGAGCGTTCAGCCTCTCCACGTTAACCATGTCCCGATCATCCATACGTCTCTCTCTCTCGCTTCTTCCACCATCTTCTCGCTGCCACGATCATCCATCTCGAGCTACGTCCAAACCACGACAATTCGACGCAGAGCTGTATCGATTGAAAGAAAAACGTCGCACAAGGACGACGAAGTAAAAACCCTACACGAGAGATCTCGCTAGGGAAACACTGATCGAACTTTGATCAAGAAAGATCGAAATCGGAAATTACCTAGCGGCGGCTCTGCCCTAGGAGCTCTCTGGTTACGCAACCCTATTCTCGTTGCTGTATTTTTAAACGACTGGTAATTTTAAAACTGCAATTTTTTATCTTACTGAAAGGAGAGAAATGGCAATATATTACCTTATTTCTAAACATTATTTTCTTTAATAACTAGAAATGAGTTTGTCCCTTTTAAGAGAACATAGCAAATTCAATTATTTTGATTATAATTATGCTACGCTTTCCAAATTCAACCAAATTATACACTAAAAGAATGCATAATAGATAACACTCCAATGCATCTAAATGAGATTTTGTATAGTCGATTAATAGGCAGCATCAGATGTTTGGTATTGTTAGATGTTTAACTTTGTGTATTCTATTTTTTTTTGTGGTTTTGTATGTTCTATTATTACTTCGAATGTATTTCAATCTTATTCTGAAATTATTTTAGCAAACGGATTGGTATTGGTATGGCTCATGGTATTGTCCTGTTTACAAGCGGAAAGGAATTGATTTTTTTTATTTCTAATCCCAACTGTACTAAATGGTTTAAATAGTCACACTGGAGTGTTAGGCTCTGTTTGCAATCACTTAATTTAAGTGATTGTGGCTTTTTTTAAAAGAAAAAAACACTTATTTTACCAAACACTACCAACTTTTACTTTCTCAGCTTCTGTGTAGAATCTACTTTTATTTTTTCTATTACACAAAAAACACTTATTTTACCAAACACTACCAACTTTTACTACTAACCATTTTTTCCCAAAAAGTGCTTTTATTTAAACACAATCACTTGCAAACAAAGCCTTAGACTCGGCAAAACATCAGACCGCCCCAAGCCTGCAAGCCCCAAGCCATGCCCACCTCTAGAATTTGGAGAAAAGAGTAGTAAAAACTAAAGTGGAAATTACCGGTACGGTCTAGTTTTAGGTATCACATTTCATTTATGTCACGAAAGTATTTTTCTTTCATTGCTAGACTTTTATCTTTTCAATCTAACTATTTTATTTCAAAAATAATCACATCCTAAATTAAGACCTTTGGTAATCAACGATGAAGTTCTACGGTGACGAACGATGAATTATTCTACAGCAAATAAGGCATTCGTGATCCTCTTAGATATCGATGGAGACATGAATTGAAGATCGCGTTGTTCAAGCCACTTGGCCAGATTCCAGGCCCAACTCAAAGCCATTATCGGTGACGACAAGCTCAAGGCAGGAAGCGATTTCAATCACTTCCTCGATCTTATTTCCTCGATCTTATTTCAAGCAACTCAAACTTGGGCAGTTTCAATCGCCAACTCCGCACCGCCTTCAAGGTCCCGGGCAAGGTTTATTTTCCGGTGATGTTGATGTTAGATCTAGCGGAGAGCCGCACTAAGAGGAATGCGTTGCAAGTGTACAGGGTCGCCAAGTGATTGTGCGCCTCTGTGAGTGTCAATCCTTGCATTTATCTTACTTTTTTAAAATTTCAACTCATTTTTCTCACACCACTACATATATTCAATATACGTTTAATTGAAGCTATCAGATGCCAATACTTGGCGTGTCAAGTAGATCTATATCCCTGTAACTCGGCCTATTAATGCTAAATCCAATTCCTTTGAAGGTTTTTTATGTATTGGTGCCATATGTTTGGCACAATTACCTTAGTTAAGTATTTGAGTCATTAATCAACTTCTACAAGATGTGTAGTCTTGAAAAAATTGAATTGAAAGGTAAAATTCAGAAAGTTAACAATGTATGATTAATCACTTTATTCTGTAAATATCTCAATTTTGAAGTGGAAATTGCCCAAATGCGGTCTCCCTATTACATATGCCTCTTTGCTAGTCTCAGTACCTTTGGTTAATGAATGGATCCACAATTTAATAGTTTTCTCCATTCATTATGAGATCTGGAGATGTGAAGAACTTTAGAAAAGAGAGGGAGATCAGATGTTACATGTGAAAAAGCTAGTCAGTTAAGCTTCTGAACTGCAATATAACGATGATGACATAATTTGGCTGAAACTTCACAACTTGGCTTCCTTTATTATTTTTAATTGTTTGTAAATCTTACGGGTTAGGCAGCTATAGACTAAGTGATGTAGCATAATGACTTGACATATGTTGTTTCAATTTACCTCTAGATCTTGACATCAAAGTAATATATTACACTCTCAAACTAACTATCGAATATGAAAGGATGGCCATAGTTTTCCAATTCTGTATCGATGCTCTTCATGAAAGGCTTTCATTTATATAATTTCTTGTCTAGCGATAGGATATCAGGTTATTTATACCATGTTTAGATGGTGAATAAATGTTTAAACTCTTTTATTTATCCATTTGTCAAGTTTAGAGATAATTGCGATTCTCTTATAAAAGTTGCATCCGGAAAATAGCAAGCTTGAGACTTCCAGCTCTGGAAACCGCTTTAATTGACCTTGATTGGAGGGATTTAGGTAGGATGTGCTGAAATAAAAGCTGCTAGAGACATTTATGGTTCATGTATTCTGCAACTATGCTTATACGAAGTGCTACGTATGCTTTTAAGCTATAAAAATGTCTGCAAGTTGGTTGGGTTTGGATACATCCCTCATTCCTTCATTTCAATGGCAGTGCTAATTTTTGAAACATCCCTTATAATGTGATTTTGATAAAGTTATGTGGTTGCTGACTGAAGCACTTGAACTGTAATGACGGGAGCTCTTGAACTGTAATGACTACTGCTTCCTCAATTAAAAGCTTGTATAAGAATATCACATCTAGAAGTATTGATAATTGCGAATCAGTTTAAATAATTCATTTTTTATCATGCAGGTCTGTTCTTCATGTAAAATGGTATACGGAATGCTGCATCGCAAGGACTTTCTTTAGGTTACTTGTAAATGTATATTAGAAAATGAATTTGATTGTACTCCCTCATTTATTTTGTAATGATATTTGTAATTATAATCTTCAATATGAAAAAAAAGTTAAATGTGTATATTGTATGTTGTTTTTTACTTTTTGTTTCTCTTTGTTTTATTATGTTGCTTTTTGTTGCGTTTTGTTGCATCTTGTTACTTTTTGTTGATATTGACCTGATTTTTTTCTTAATTTTGTATTCATGTTTCCGGTTTTTTTTCTCTAATTTGGTAGAAAGACACTCTATACATGTGTGTCTATTGCCAAAATTGCATATAATAAAATCACAAGAAACAAAACTAAACAATAAGAAACAAAATATAAACATTGAGAAACAAAAAGAAACAAAAGACAACAAAAAATAGCCATATAAAAAGAAACAAAAGGCAACAAAAAATAACCATATAAAAAAAATGATGCAACAAAAGGAAACAAAACAACAACAGTAATAGTAATAATACACTATTAAGAAATATTTTGAGAGTTGTTTTTTAAAATTAAATATTTACAATTATAATTTTTTTTGAATTTCAAGAAAATTAAATTGTGAATAGTTTAAATAAAATTAATTTTAAAAACTAATATTCTGTATTTCGTAACATTTTATCCATTTAACTTTTTAAATATTTTTTTAATTATGTATTTTTTAATTTTGTAAGTCACATATTTTACTGTTTTATAAAATTTCTAATTTTTAAAATTTATATAAATTTTTAATTTTTCCAAATATTTTTTATTTTTATTATCAATTCAAAATATTTTTCTATAATATATCAGTGGTTTCAAAACACTTTTATTTTATTTTACATATTTTGTTTATAGTTTTTCAGTTTTTATATTTTTTACTATTTTAAACTTTTCATTAAATTGTTTATTAGTTTTTTTGACTGTTTATATTTTTATTTAAATTATAATAGCTATTTAGTAAATTATATTATAAAATTTTTTTTTTCACTTCTTTACTATTTTCCACATTTTCAACTGTGTTAAAATGTACATTTTTATTTTCGATATTTCTATTTCGAAATTTCATATATGTTTTGTTTTACCTTTTTCTAATTGATTTTTTAAATATTCAATTCATTTTCTTCATTTTTAACCTCTACGATTACACATGTTTAATACACGTTTTTATATCATTTTTTTTTTACTTTGAGTAGTTTTTATTTATTTTCACATGTAGTTTATTTAATTGACATTATATTTTTTTTTATCTCAGTATTATCATCTGTCTTAATTTTTAAAGATTTTTCACATTTTTTTCAAGTACATTTTATTTAAGTACATATTGAGAATCATAATCATACGTGTGCTTGTTAAATATTTTCAAACTCTTTTTTCTTTTTAAATTTGTATATATTTTGTTTATAACTTTTAAGATTTAGAATATTTAAATCTATATATTTTTCATTTTTATAAATTCATAATGTTTAAATTTTTTATTTTCTGCTAGCTTTACATGTTTCCTAAATTGAACAAACCCAGAGACATTATGTTTACTTACTAATGTGAGATTGATTGATGACGTGGATTCCATTTTCCAATCTAACTTGAGTCACTGAAGCATATACGTAGTAGTAAATTGCCGTAGTTGGATTAAGTATATATGGATTAGGGAGAATACGGGCTACTATTGAAAAGAAAGATTCGCTTGATCTATTTTTGAAAAGTATTTTAAAAGATGAAAAACGTAATATTACTTTTAGTTTTAGGCTATTTGTGAAAAAATCCTTTTATTTGAAATTTGAATATAAAGTGCATTAGAAATATATCAAGCACATCTTTTTATAAATCAAGCACATTTTTTTTCATTTACATTAGAATTAAACATAAAAACTAGAAAACTCAACATACAATTTATTTACTCTTTGGAGGTATAAAAATGGAAAGTATGCATGTACGTAGTATAGGAAAAGATCCTGTTGAGTCGTCCATACAGAATCTTTCGTCCGGACTTTGCCGTTTGAGGTAGTTTTGAATATTTTGATGAAATTTTGTAAAAAATTTCTTCATGAAGTGTAGTTAATGTCAATGAAATTTCATTTTAAAATTCAATCAGAAAAGCAGCTAAATAAATTACTGAAAAACACTGCGTTATATATATTGGTGTAGTGTTTTTCAATAATTTATTTAAATGCCTTCTCAGTTGTATTTTAAGATGAGATTTTTTTTTTGATCATTTTTAAGATGAGATTTTATGAAAATTATCTACATTTCACGAAGAAAACTAAGAATATGAGTACTAACATTCGTTAGAGGTGGGTGAATACGGCGGTTTTTTACCCATGCTCTCCTTATGGCCTGTTTGGATTGAGTGTTGAGGAGTGTTAGTAATTGAAGTGTTAGTAAGTGTTGATGTTAACACTTGTTTGGGAGAAAAATCCAGAGGTGTTAAGAAGTGTTAGTAATGGTTAGGAAGTGTTAATAATAACCTTCCCAACACCTCAATTGTCCATTTTTTTAACACCCCGATTTGGAGTGTTTTGAGGTGTTGGACAATTATTACCCTTCTCATTTACCCGAAAAACATAAAATGCTTCAACATTTCACTTCGAATGTCTTTCCCACGGGTCTGATGGTTTGTTTTCTCATCTCTTCTCTTTACTCGTTTCTTTTGCCTCAAGGTAAAATTATTAACACTTCCATTATTAACACTTCATTCATTTGACTCTCCCAAACAAGGTAAAATTATGTCTAACACTTACACTTCCCTTCCCTTCCGAGCCCTTACTAACACTTACTAACACTTCCATTACTAACACTTCCAAACACTCCATCCAAACAGGCCCTTAGTGTAATTTCAATTGAAAATGTAAAACTATGTACTGTGTACAATGATGCAATTCTAAATAAAGTTTTAGATTATATGTATACTTGAATGACTTGAGGTTAAACTGGATAACAGACTGCACTCCAATTTAAATAAGGGTCACATAAAGCTAGGGCTGGGTCCGAAAACCGAAGACCGAATCAAATTAAACCGAACCGTGATCAAATAAAACCGAACCGCTAAAAAACTGAAACCGAATGTAAAAAACCGAACCGAACTGTATTAGTTTGGTTCGGTTTTGGTTTTTCCCCTTCAAAACCGAACCGAACAAACCGAACTAAAATATGAAATTTTATTTGTTAAATGCAAGCATTAATCTTGATATCATCAATAATCTTTGAATTTCTTGTGCTAGAGAAATAATGTCTGTGCTATGTTTAGTTTAGTTTTGTTTATAAATGCATTTACACATTCATTGCCCATAATAATGTAGCTATATTGATCTATTATGTCTTTTATGTATGTATGTATGTTGCAATTTATTGCATGATTATATGTTTTTACTGGCTATTAGTAGTAATTAACTTTTATTTTTATGTAACCTAATTTTTTTTGTAACTTAAATTTTTTATATTGATAAAACAAATAAATATTCATCTCAGCTACTCACATATGACATATGTATTCATAAACTTTTTTCAAAGTGGTCACAAATAATGTAAATTAAGATATGCCTCCCGCATACTCATATAATTAATTTAAGACATATTTGTTTATTATTATTTTCTTTATTTATTCAAGTATGCTTGCATTTTTATGTAATATGTTTGATCCCTCCAACTTTTATATCAATTTTAAAACAAATGACATTTTTTAGTAAAAAACCGAAAACACTGAAACCGAACCGAAACAAACCGAACTGATCAAACCGTGGTTCCAAGTTTTGGAGTGTAAAACCGAACCGAAACCGAACCGAACTTTTACTTTGGTTCCGTATTTGGTTTTAGGTCAAAACCGAACCGAAAGAACCGAACCGAAAGAACCGAACCGAAAGAATCGAACCCACCCCTACATAAAGCCGTCTAGTATATATTATGAAATCGTAACATAAAGTCATATGCTCAATAAAATGTCTTATAAATACGTTTACTTATAAAAAACAATTGTATTAGTCCTAACGACCGGTTCACAACCTCCTAATCTCAGTTCTAGCTTACGTGTTGTTCGTTTACCCTTGTATTTAGCAAATACGTAGTAGTTGCTAAATATTCCACTTCAGCCTTATATTCTATTTTAAAAATGTAGCCAAACGTAAGCTAAAATGGAATTAGATGGTTGTCAACATGTCGTTAGAACTCATTCGATTGCTTTTTAAAAGTAGACGTACTCGTATGACACTTTATTGAGTACATGACATTATCTGACGACTCCATAATAATAGAAAGTCTCGTTTGACCCCTTTCCCATTTAAATATGCCCTTGCTCACGAGGGCATACACGAAATACAAAAATACCAGAGTCCGTTTGGTGACCCTGATTTTCGAATTATCAGGCTTAATAGCCAATCTTTCAACGAACACGTAACTTTTGATATCACACGATGAATTATGTAAAAATAAGAAAAAGTAAGGTTGCTGTTACTTTTCTGACTGTATTGGCTGAAGTTACTGTAGAAAACCATTTTACTATTTTAGTTATTTTTTCATATAATGTTTTCTTTATTCTATAAATAAAATATATTTTAAACATATTTTTTCATATATCAGCAGAATCAGCAAAATCAGTCACTTGAGCTAGAACTTCATAGATTTCAACAGAATAAGCCAATAGAGCCGATTTGGCTATTACCAAACGGTTCTTAGTGTATTACGTACAATGTTATAATTGCACTATTACAAGCACATACAAGAAATAAAAAATAACATATAAATTGATAATTTATATTTTCAGCTTATCAATTTATTGCTTCATTGTGTATAAACATGTAACTTTAGATTTTGTGTGTTTAATTGTGTAAGATTTTAATGTACCGAACTCGCTTGTGATATAGAAATTCAACGTATTAGCCTATTGTGATTTAAAAATTGAATCAAACCCTGTTGTGTGATAATTAATCATGCATATAACCCCTTTTGTCAACAAGTTTAACAATTTACAAATTACTTTTCTTATTATTAAATTATGATTGAATATGGATATAAATTTATCAAAATCTCTGTATTATACAAAAATAGTAATCATTTTTTATTTGATAATTAGGTTCGTTCATATAGGGATTTTGCGCATGATTAATTATAGGGAAAAGGGGCAAAAGTGACCCTAATGTTTTCTTCTAGGAGGAGATATGACCCTAAACTTTTTTTGAGGAGAAATAGGTATAGGAATTAAGTTTTTTGAGGATCGAGACACCTCTTCCACTAACGTGGGTACCCACTAACGTAAGACTTGGAAATATAACAATTTTATTCTTTTTTTTGGAATACAACCATTTCTTAGTTCTTACTCTCTCTAATAAATTAATTTGAAATAAAAAATATAAAGTAACTTTAACGTCAAAATTGCAAGGTGATTTATTTACTTTGATTTAAATTTAAAAAGGCCTTACAAAAATTACATGGAAAAAATGACTGAAATGTATACGTAGTAATAAGTTTTGAATACAATATAGGAATTAGCTTTTCTAAATTCAACTTTTGAAATATATAATGAAGATATGACCCTAAACTTTTTTGGGGTGAAATTAAGGGTCAGCAAACAAGTACAAAAATCGCAGGTCGGGTAATACAGTTTTCAGGGCACAAAACTGAGAGAATCCAAAGAGGCTTCTAGAGTCGGATAACCCTAGAATCCATAGAGTCCGAAAAGAGAGAGAGAGAGAGTAGTTATGCGTGAGCGTAGCATCCACAAATTCCAGCGGGTGAAAGATGTCAACCGGCGTCTCGGAAGAAGCCAACCCCAAATTTATCGTTGAAGAAGGCTTCTCTTGCTTTGAACGGCAGTTGTTCTACCATGTAGTGACAGATTGAGGGGCATTGCAAACCGGTTTGTGCGAGGAAGTGGGCTACCCAGTTTGCTCGTCTCGGTCGGTACAGAAAGGTTAGTTGATGCTTGATTGTGATTTAAAAAATGTATCAAATCTAATTGTGTTATAATTATCATCATCATCATCATCATTATTATGATTACTATGATTATTAATATTATTATGATATTTATTATTATCATGATTATTATTATTATTATTCTTATTACTATTATGGTTGTTGTTTTTATTGTTATTAGTATTTTTTTTGTTATTATTATATTAGACGGAGTAATTACAATCAAAATTATAGAAATAAATATTATAATTATAGAAATAATTATAATTATAACAACAAATATAATTACAATTACATTTATAGCTTTTTTTTGTTTACTCTAGGAGACGTCTGGGGGAGGGGGTCTGGGGAGGGGGGCTGAAGTAAACTGGGTTGAAACTCACCCTATTGAGTTTCGAACCCGAGACCTCCCATAAGGGAGAGTGAGTCGGCGACCAGCTGAGCTGGACCGCTTCCTCTAATTATAGCTATATTTATAACTAGTGTAATACGTATAATAGTAATAATTATACCTATTATAATTTTTTTATAATTATGATTATAATTATAATTATATTTAAATTGTATATGTGTAATTACATTTCTAATTATTATAATAAAAATTAAAATTATAATTATAATTTTAGAAATATTTAAATCAGACCAGATCAGAAGGATTCAGATCAGATCAGGAACATTCAGATTAGATCAGGAACATTCAGATCAGATCAGGGACATTCAGATCAGATCAGAAAGATTCAGATCAGATCAGATCAGAAACATTCAGATCAGATCAGAACTTAAAAAATTCAGATCAGAAACATTCATATCAGGTGAAGAGAACAGCTTCTATGTCCTTGAACTTATAGGTCTTTCCCGTTTAAGGATTTTTCCACTTGAAATTGCACTTTTTGACAAAAAAATTGACATTGGCAGCATATCAGGATTAAAAACGAGCACATTGTATATATATGGGACCAAAGTTGCAAATTTCCATTTACATTTTAAACCTGTCTTATATTCCGACCCCTCCTATAGTGAAGTGAGACTCCGCACTTATAAAGGCATATACACTTATAGCGTACAAACACATTTTCCTCGTCACAATTCACCTAAAAAAACTACGATTTTGAGAGGCGGGTATTATTTTCTCAAGGACTAATTGGATCACGGTTAGCCGGTCAAAAACAAAAAAAAAATCGCAAACAAATGAGTATTTGGAAATAACCATAAAACGACATGGCCTCTTTGTCTTCTTTTGCGTAGATTAGCGTCACACCAATCATTGTGATGTTGATACAACAGTGCACAACGTGGTATCTTTGAGACCCCAGGACACACCAAAAGCTAAGTTGCACTTCAATAAGTTTTTTTGGACGAAAAAATAATTAAAATACTCCAAATTTTGAAAAGGTGTGAGATGAACATCCAAAGTTATATAACTTAAATATCCCAAATTTATATAAAAAATATTTTTCGCACCATAATCAAGTATTATTTCCCAAAAATGTAAAGTTATGGTGTTAATTGCATAATTTTAAATATTTTAGCATTTATGAAGACACAATTAACATTTTAAATTTCATTGTGAAATAAATAACATGACCCACAATCAATACAATTGCAACACTTTTAATGTGCTATTTTAAATTATGCAATTAAAACCATAAATTTAAACTTTTGAAAGAAATAATAAATGACTATGGTGCTAAAATAACTTTTTATGTAAAGTTTGAGATATTTAAATTACATATGCAAGTTGGGTGTTCATCTCACGCTCATTCAAAATTTGGGATATTTTTATTATTTTTCCCTTTTTTGAAAAGAGAACCCTTATGTTAAATCAATAGAATCATACTAACAAAAGGTTCTCGAGTTTTTCCCCGAAATAATGCTAATTAAATAAATAATTCCCAAAATATTGTTGGGTTAACAATAATTCCCAAAATACTGTTGGGTTAACTGTGGTTAAGGAAAGCCGCCACTTGAAGTGGCGGCTCTTCTCTTACAGTACACAAGGCGCCACCCCAAGTAGCGGCTCTTCTCTTACAGCACATTTTGTACATATATAAAACGCAGTATGTTTCAAGAATTTGTTTAACCATCATCCCGATTGAATTTTGAGCTCAAATTTGGTATCAATAAACTAGACTTGATGAGGAGCATGCTAAAAAAGTTTCATCAAAAAATTCCACCGGGAAGACCCTCTGATAGTGTTGTCCGCATGGGGGTTCCGAGTCGAATTTTTTAATGAAATTTGGTGATCATGTGCTTCATAAAGTGTAAGTTATGTTCACCGAATTTCAGATGAAAATTAAATCATGACATCCTAACCAGAACCCCGTTGTGTTTACCATATATGCCCTTATAATATTACTCATTAAATAAGGGTAAGTACTGTTGTGTTTGAGAAATATGGGCAATTATGTTAATAATCTATATGATGCAATAATCATACTCATATTTAGGGAAATATAGTGTATATTTTGAAGACTAGTTCAAATGACTCTTGTACATTCAACCACCCACTCGTAACAAAAAGACTCAATCTAACAATATCACTTTGTATTCTACAATTGAATTGTACAAAATATTTACAAGTAAACGGGTAGCTCACATCACTCTTTGTATATGAGACTACTTCACTCACACACCCCTCTTTTGAGAGACACTCACTCACTCAAGAACTCTCTTCAAGATTCTCTCTCATCACTTGAGGAGGGTCTCACAAGGGTCTATTAAGGCTCTCCCTCAAGGCCTCCATAGGAATGAGGAGTCTCATCCCTATTTATACAAATCTTCTAAATGCTTCTCTAGAATTGTCTATACACCACTACACTTCTAGACTATTCTAAAAGTATGCACAAGTTTCTCCAATCTTCTAAAAGGATCTAGAGAGCTCCACATCTCTTGAGAATGTTCTGGAGACTTCCACACTTCTCTAGAAAACTCTACTATGTTCTAGAATATTCTACACTCTTCCTCACGCTTCTAGATAATTCCACGTCTCTCTAGAAAGCTCCATAATATTCTAGAACATTCAATATTTCTCTACACATATAGAAAATTCTAGACATCTCCGCAATATTCTATAATTCTGATGAACTTCTCAATTAGGGGGGGGGGGACCAACAATATTAATGCCTCATAATGTCAAAGTATGACAATAATATTTTGGGATGACAATAATGAACTAGTTTTTTAATGTGTTGTTTCCTTTCGGTTATCTTATTTTCCTTTTTGGGGTTATCTCAAAATAAATGTGTTGTTTCACTTTTTAAAAATAAATATATGTTCCTTATCTTTTCACTTTATTATACTCAAATGTGAACAACAACTTTACTTTTCAATCACTCACTTTTTTTTTTTTTAAGAAAACGATTTTATTCATAAATTGAAATAAAATTACAATGCAAAAAGATAAATAAAAGAAAAAAGCACAGAGTAAAAAAGGAAAAGGAGATACAAAAAAAAAAAAAGTTAGAGCCTAGGGAAATCTCTGGAACCAAGGGAAAAGGAAATCTCGTGTTAAACTAAAACAATACATTCAATATGGGACAAATGTATTGTTCTTAACCGGTCGTAGGCTCGTTTTATAAAATGTATTTCATTGATTTGATTTAAGTGTCAAATCAATCATAATTAAATAGACTAGATCATATTAGACCATATTAGATTAGACAAGAAAAAACTAAAATTAGACAATAGTGAAATTAATACGGAGTATAAAATAGAAATTTGACAAACTTAACTAGACCAATTGAGACTAAACCAGATGAAACTCAAATAATCAAAACTAGATCAGAACAGAGTAAATGAGTAAGTAGATAAGAAAATTTTAATCTAATTGAAGCCATCTTAAATGTGAATTTGATAATAAACGATTAGGCATAGAATCAAAGTGTAACATGTTAATTTGATATTTCATTAATAGCCAATCATTCAAATTCATTTCTCCCCAAGTCATGAAAATACCAAACTTACTTTATTGGTAATATTTGTTAAGCAAATTACCAATATTATTTTCGCTTTCTATTAGTTCATCTGTTTTATTATTTTAACTTCTAAGGAAAATATTATTTGAACATGAACACGAACTTTTTTTCCCAAGTTTAGAAGCGGTGAAGATCATCTTCCAACGAACAAGTACAAACTGAAAGCCCCTATTATATGCCCTACCACATTTTCTTTTGAGGAATAAGAAAATGCATTTAGTTTAGATTATCTTGACTTGGAAATATTAAAGGGCTGGGCTGATGCAGTGCGGATGGTGTAGCAGAAAGTCGGAAACCATAAATAAAAGAGTCAGTACTCAGTGGGCAGTATCCATACCAATAAACATACAGATCTCTCGTACCAGTTTCAATATAAAAATGGCTCAAAAATTTGCTGAAAAGAAAAAGGGTAAAAGTCCATAACCCAAGGGCCCGTTTGGTTGGACCAATCTCACATGTTGGCAATGCCATGCCCCTCATATGTCCCTGCGAGAGCGTTGAGATGGCTAAGGTTTGGTGATTGTGTGGGCAATCTGCGTGGTCTGTGTGGTGTTTTGAGCCCGTTTGGTAACACTGAAATTGGCTGAATCGGTTGATTCTGTTGAAATTTATGAAGTTCTAGCTGAAGTGACTGTATTGGTTGATTCTGCTGATTTATTAAAAAAGTATATGTAAAATACTTTTCATTTATAAAATTAAGAAAAAATTAAATGAAAAATGAGCTAAAATGGTCCTCTATAGTAATTTCAGCCATTGCAGTTAGAAAAGTAATTGAAATCTTACTTATTTTGATTATTACACTATTCATTGCGCGAAATCAAAAGTTACATATTTGGTAAAAAAAAGTTTGCTGATAAAGCTGATAAGTTGGAAAACATGATTACCAAACGGGCTCGTAATGTACTTGTGTGAATTTTGAGCCGGAAGAAGTATACACCCCTAACAATATGCTTAATTATATTTATTAGTTAATTAATAAAAATCCACACAAGTAGCTTTAAAGTATTTTTGGAAGAGTTAACCGGAGGTGAAATCTATTGTTTATTTTAGAGGCTATTGTTGGGATGAAAGTTGTTGATAATGATAATTGATAGCTAATTGATAATGATAGCTAGACAAAGTAGACTCGTTTGGCAACACAATTGAAATTACGACTATAAATATAAAAATGTCATAAAAGCAAATGGTTTAACTAGATGCCAAGTTCATGTCTTCATCTAAACAAGGTCATATGTGAATTAGTTATCTAATTTGAAAATTTTCAGCACATTTTGAGGCGAAATGATTAGACAAGCATAACCTTAACCTACTTCATTTTGTAAACGGAAACCAACAATATCTGTCTGGTTTCCATTTTACTCAATTATTGGATGTTTCCATACATTTCCCCCAACTTGATATACATGTGGAATAAAAAAGTATGAATAATGTGATTGAAATTACTTCACTTAATCACTTTTTTTTTGCTCTCATCACTTAATCACTTTAGTCACATTTTTTGTAATCGAAAATATTGATATCTATTGAAACACCTAAACAAGAGAAGTTGGCCAAACTTAGGTAGTATAAATTAAAGTTTGTGAGACCAATAGAGTGTCTTGATTTCTTTATTAAATGCAAAATCTCAAAAAAGGATCCCATAATTTTGACAGGTGTAAATGAATTGCATTTAAAAAAGTGGAATACGTACATTATTGGGTGGGGCCCCGGAGATCGATTGTGTGAGGTCAGACAGTGACTACATCGTCTAGTTTATTTCTGCTCTCTGCTGCAAATCATGGTGGCATACTACTCTGCATAAAAAATGGAAAAAAGTGAGAGATCAGAAGCAATAAATAAATAATGATATATAAATGGCCATTCTAACTAAAAATTGATCAATCCTAACTACTTTGTCATCTGCTACCTTTAATTGACATGGTACTATAATTGTTTACAACAACCTCAAAAGTTACTATATAGATAGTATTAGTATATATAACAAAGTTTCATAAACTAAATGATTTGTTTGCTTTAGTTGGAGCCATGTTTCGAAGTGAAGATTTGTTGTTCCAAATTTTCTCCAATCCTAATATCCCTTCCCATCAAAACAAGCTCTCCCAAGATCTGTTTTCCGATCATAACAATAATTATATTTATACTTATCCCCCGCTAGATGCCACCACCGACCACCTCCACGGCCACCACTACGCCGCAACCGCTACCGCAAACGCCACTTCATCAAGGAAGCGGTTACAGAGAGATGAAGTATTACCAACCACAGCCACCGCAACAACCGCGACAGCCACCGCCACCGCCACAACAGCGAATGACAACAACAAGCTGAAGAGAATTATGCATCGGGAAATCGAACGGCAGCGCCGCCAAGAAATGGCCACCCTCTACGCCTCTCTCCGCTCTCTCCTCCCTGTCGAATATGTAAAGGTAATTTGAATTTCGGTCAAACGAATTTGTTTGACTCGTAAGCTCAAATCTTAATATAACACTTTATTACTTCATAATTTTGAGGACAGGGTAAGCGTTCGACGTCGGATCATATGCACGAGGCATTGAACTACATAAAACATATGCAGAAGAGCATTCAAGAATTGGGTCGGAAGAGAGACAGGTTAAAGACGACGGCATCGACGGCTCCCGGGACATCGGGTTCCCAAGATTCGGAGAAAAACGGAAGCTTGGATAAAAAGATCGTAACCGCGGGTTCCCGGGATTTCGTATCGGTTAGCCGTTGCCGGAGCGGCATTGAGGTTCTGATCGGTTTTGACGGTGGCGGGAGGGGGCGGTTTCCATTGTCAAGAGTGCTACGGACGCTGGAAAACGGCGGTTTTGATGTTGTGAGCTGCGATTCCACGACGGTGGATAATAGGTTGCTTCACCGGCTTCAGGCTGAGGTACATACTATATCCATGAATGGCGGAAAAGTCACAAACTACTACTTACTACCTATATTTTAATTACAAGTTTGTCTGTTTTATATCAAGTGTCCTCTTCTGTTGATAAACATTTCTTATTGTTTGTCCTTTTATAATAATATACGGAGTATCAAGATAGGAAATCATTCAATACCGAGGAAATAATGAAATAGCCGGGCTTTTTTGTCCGACATGCAAAAGCTCGGGATATCAAATTAGGGTACAAAAAAAGCGGGAGTCGGAACCATGGATTCTAACTGAAATAAGGGGCGTGGAAAGAGAGTACAAAATTGTAGTCGGAGCATCATAACTAATTAATTCTCAACAAAAAGGCAAAGAAATCTACATCAAAACAGTGCCAAACAGTGCCAAACAGTGTCTCAACAGTGCCAAACAGTGTCTCTACAGTGCCAAACAATGTCAAACAGTGCCTCAACAGTGTACTCTACAGTAAAGTCAAATTTCTTTCCTTATTTTGTGTGAAGTCAAACTGTGAAGATTAAAAAAAACCGGAGGTAGTACTACATCTATCTAGTTGTGGAGTCAGAAAATCATGTTAATAAGGGGGTCAGACTTGGCTATGTATAATAGAAGTATTAAAAAACCAAATGATTTTGAGACAAAATTTTAGTTAAATAATTCATATGTAGGTGGAATAAACGTGAGTTCAAGTATACATAGAACTGATAGAAGTAAAAAATTGGTGTTGCCTTGATTTTCTTTGAGTTAATCAACGCGAGTCATATGCAACTTTCTATTGGTTAACTGATATGTAACGAGAAATAGAAAGTTGCAATTGCTAACAGCCTAAGACATCAAAGAAGTAAAGAGAAATAGAAGTAATGGTGTTGCCTTGATTTTGTAGAAAGTTTAATTTTATGAGCGTGTCAGCATCTCAGTGTGACACTATAAACTGAGAATTAAATCATTTCAGCATCTTGCATTTTATGTCTTTAAATAACACTGAAATGGCTAAACTTAACATATGAAAATAATCCATATCTGTAGTAGGCAGTAAGCCACCAAATGTAAGAAAAAAGTCTTAACATGTATACAAACAGCTGCAAAATGTACAAAATAGAAAGCTGCAAAATTGTAAAAATTAAACTAATATGTAAGATTAAATAAAATATTGAGTGATTAAACTGTAAGAAAAGGTCTTCACATATATACCAAAACCAAATCATTGTAGAATTTAGCTAACCTTTCACATATATCAATTCAATCAAAGACAAATTATATATTTTAAAGGGAAAATGGAAAATAATAATCCAACACTTTAGCGGTCTTCTTACAATAGTTTCACATTTTCGTTATTCATGAATAATCCAACCTTTGCACCTCATCTTCAATCACTGGTCCCTGACCGGTTGATGACCTGCTATTCCAAGTTATTTTCTTATTTTTACAAACCATTATACCATAAATCTCACCTCGCATAAAGATAATATTTTGCAAAGATAAGAAAATAACTTGGAATAGCAGGTGATTAACCGGTCAGGGACCATCGAATGAAGATGAGGTGCAAAGGTTGAAGTATTCTTGAATAATGAAAAGGTGGGACTATTGTAAGACGACCGCTAAAAGGTTGGATTATTTGTTTCCATTTTCCCTATTTTAAAAAGTTTAGATAAAAAAAGAACCTATACTCCTCGATATGAAGGCGTCTTCGATTGGGATTGTCATAGCGGTCGTCTATGACAAATCTTTGCTCTTAAGAACCTACACTACTCTTGGTAGACAACGTCGCTCTTAAGAATAGAGTTTTCAAAAAAAAAAAAAAAGAATAGAGAATGCGGGACTCTTCGCAGACAAATCTTCGTTCATAACTCTTCCTTTAAGTTCTCTTTAGATAATCGTAAAAGAAAACATATGGTCTTAATATCGTTGATGTGCAACAGGTTAGGGTAATTGTAAAGGAAAATTATAAATTTTAACGACAGGTTTAAGCACCCATTTTTTTAATTTGGGAACTGGCTCGTCCCTATATTATTTATAACCCGCCCCGCCCCGTTTGGTTATCTTAAGCGTAGGAGCTGTCGATAACTTTTCCCGATATGCTATTACCCACCCCGACCCGCGGTTCCAGGACCTATTTGCTCATCCCCATTTATGATGGCATCAATTTCATCCTCCAACAACCGCATTCACATTCACGCCTCGACAGACCATAAGTGGTGTTGCTTTGTGTATGACGAATGAGTACACTCATGTGTAGTGGTTATGTGGAAGGAACACAATGTGATGCATTTATTGATATCAAGACACAATCTCTTTCTGAATATTATCTAGACAGTGATGTACGTCATGATGCAACATCATACCTAGCAGTAAGCTATTGTGCATATAGCTGGAATAGTTTGTGGAAAGTTTCCCTAACAAGGACGGTAATTGGCAATGTCCTGCATCCATTGACGGAATTGTTGAAACATCCTGAATGATTTATTGGTAGAGTACAATAATGTCAATACTCATTATAATATAGTGCTCACTTCTCTTAGGGAATGCCATTTAGATACTTGAATGCTCTCTCGTTAGTACCCTGAATATGTTGCATGGAATGGTGACATTCATTTACAATCGCGGTACTTCTCACTCGCCATCACAATTTCTTTAGTAATTCGCTTCTAAATTGGGACATGAATTTTTTTTCTAATGTGTCAAAGATAATATTGCCTTTAAATTTGAGGTGTTCCAAATTTTGGCACAGTCTAGAATGCACAATTTTTAGCCGTATATCGATCTGGGATGATGGAAACAATCTAATGTGGCCCTATAATGTGTGTTGCAATAAAATGTAAGAACCATGCCCAGCTCGCACCATTTTCACTATCTACCACACCAAAAGTTAGATTTTGCGATTGGCACTCATTGCCACTATGAATAGGATAGCCCGTTTACTTTCCGTGCAAGTGGGTTCCATCAATGCAAACCACCTAAAGGTAGTGATTGAACCCATCTATGGCTGCTTTCATTGACCGAAATGTAATGTTAAATTTATATACATACCTTTCGTATTGATGTTATCACTATTTAGGTTAATAATGGTGTCTGAGTTAATGTAGGTCATTGCTTACAGGACTTTTGGGAGATCGTTGTACGCTGTCTTCAAATTGCCAAACCGTTTCTCCAATGCCAATGTACGAGCATACCACACTTTCTTATGCATTATTAGCTTGGTACTGTATTCCGATTTTAATTATGTGAATCGTAGAACTAATTTAAGAAGCAATGAACTTACTTGTTAAGAGTTTGTCTCTCTTACCACTTGTATAATTTGGAATGAACTTATGATGGGGTTGATAGTGCTTGACTTCCCACAAGCTTGTACTTTTCACTTGTGATGCTTGACTTCAAACGTACATATCTCATGATAGATTTGGTTTGCCTTCCCGTATTAAGCATGTTTAGCCTCTCACTCCAGAATGTTTATAATTCTTTCAAGTTTTGAAACATGCAACTTCCTTGAGTTCTACACGCGAATCATTTATTGAATCCACTTCAATGTGCTTTTGCAGGCGGTACTTGTGTTCCACAAACAACCCCTCTTCATTGTGACTCTTCTTGGACAGCTTCACACAATGATGAGGAGTTGTTCGTGGAACCCGTATATCGTCTACAATAACACATTGAAGTAGGTTCAATAAGATATTTGTATGAAGAGTTCTAGGAAACCAACCCTTTTTAGAACTAGAAAGAATTTAAACATTCTAGAGTGAGGCTAAACGTTTTAAATGTTGGCAGACTATATGAATCCATCATTACATGGCATGTTCAAGCACCAGAAGTGAAGAGTACAAACTTGTTGAATGTCAAGTAATACAAACTCCACCATAACTGCATTCCAAAACATACAAGAGTTTAGAGAAATAAACTCATAACAATTAAACTCATCATTTCTCAAATCAGTTCCACGATTAACATAAAATCAAAGTACAATATCAAGCTAATAATGCATGACATATGCCACAATCTCAACATTCACGTTAGATATAAGAAAACGTGGTGTATATTGACAATGGAGAAACAGTTCGGAAATTGGGAGCGACCTAAATGATTTTCCAAAACTTCTGCAAGCAATGATGCGACCAATACTATCCCATGGACCATCATTGACATCAAAAGTCATAACACCAACACACAAGGTACATACAAATTTAAATTCATGTTTTGGTCATTGAAAGCAGCAATTGATGGGTTCAATCACTGTCTTCCGATGATCTGTATTGATCGAACTCACTTGTACAGAAAGTACAAAGGCCATCTTCTAGTCACGACGGCAATGAATTCAAACCCTGATATCTTTACCCTCCATCATTTGAAGTTGTAGATAGTGAAAATGGGGCAAAGATGATATGGGTTTTACATTTGCCTGCGATACACACAGGTCCACATTAGGATGTTTGCATCATCTCCGGTTGACATGTGGTTATATATTATGCATCCGAGTTGTGCCAGAATCGGGAATACCTCGAATTTAGAGGTAATACTATCTTACATATATTAGAATAAATTTAATGTCTCAATTTAGAAGCAAACAACTAATGAACTTGTGATTGTGAGCGCGAAGTACCCCAATTGTAAATGAATTTCACCTTTTCATGCAACAAATTCGGGTACTAACGAAAGAGCATTCAAGTATCTAAATGACAAGCTTTAAGAAAAAAGGGAACTCTGTTATGACAACGGTTGTCGTTATGGAATCTTAATAACAAATCTTTCAGAAAGTTCCAACAAAGCACTCAAGTGATGTAAGATGCTGCCAATAACCACCATTTTCAAGGAAACTTTCAACAAGTAGTCCAACTCTTTTCATAATGGTGTCTTGCTGGTATGATGTGCATCAAGCCAGATATATCTTTCTGGACATCCTTCGAAAATAGATTATGAATTGATGTAGAAAACACGTCACACTGTGGTCCTTTCATACAACTATGGGTGAGTGGCCAAAAATTGACTTCATTCTTTTAACGCCTACATACTCATCCAAAGCTTCTCGAGTAGTAGGACATCAAGATATAAAGTCCCACAATGAGATGAATATGTGTCTAAGAAGAAGAGCACAACACGACTGAATCATATATGTACCTTGTTTTAATGTATTGCTTCATTGTTTGTAGCTTGTTTCAATGTTGCAATGCTTTTATTCGTATCTTATTTAAATGTATTCCTACTTTCTTATGATCTATTAAATCTTATTCATTTAAAACGTGTGTTATTGTTTAAATATATTTCTATTTATATACTTCGTTTATTTTCGAGTATACATGTTTTATACTTTCTAATTGAATATGATATACTTGCAGGTTTCTGATGAGGAAGACATTAATCTGCAAGCCTTGCAACAAAAACTAACGGATGTTATCAATCTTTAACGAACTCAAAGTTGTGTAATTCTTATCCATGTTGCTTGTTAATTTACGAGTTTGCAACAAGAGTACAACTTGTCTTATTAGCAGGGGGTTCTGGAGATTTTTTTTTGCAACGTACACAATAAATGTGGCAACGTTTGCCTAGTTTGTCATTACACAAGTATATCTTACTCTTTAGATTTATTGATAACGAGTTTTCTTACTTTAAGATTAATAAATAAATAAATGTGATTTTGTTGAGGCACTAGGGAGTGAAGTCCTAATATAATAATAATACATTAATGTTACCAACTACTAATAAAAAATATTGTTCTGTTGATCCACCCCAGTATTTCTCTTTGGTTACGCCACTACTTGCTACCATCAGTGTGTACATTTTAGAAACAATATACTATTGATAAACTTTCTTCCATTTGTGTAGTTATAATCGCCTCTTTGGCAACTACTGACTATGTTTAATTTTATCAGCCTTATCGATTAATATTTTACCAAAAATTCAGCTTTTTAATTGACACGCCATTTTTTGTAATAATCATAGTAAATATAGTTTTTTTTTTTACTTTTTGCCTAAAATTTTTTTCAAAAGTATTTTGAATAATTTTTTTGTTTGCTATATTTAATACTCCCCCGTCCCATACAACTTGACCAAAATTGACTTCCGCATAGAATAATAAAGTAAAAACTGTATGTGTGGTTGAGATTTGTGCAGAGGAAAGAGAAACAACTTCAGTCACATGATTGTTACCTTAAATGGAAATGACAAATTGTTTTGGAAAAAAAATGAAATTTGACCAAGTTTTAAGGAATGGATGCGGTACAATACACACACACACAATTCGGAGTATAAATTTTTCTTAATTTATCAGATCCAGTCAATTAATCGTTTTAAACCAAATTCACATATTGCAACAATTCATTCGATTCAACCAATTTGAATAACCAACACATCATATTAGCCTCATGAAATCCTACCTTATTTCCTTCATTAGTCAATACATCGATATATATAACCTACAAAAATACCGTAAATAAACCCACAAATAAATATATAGAATGAAAAAGAACCCCTTCTGAAGAGTTAAATATCTTCCCGTATTAAAATCAGCATGGTGATAATGTGAATGAAAATTGTTAGCATCTTTCCAAATCCCATGATATGAAGGTTCAGATACACGATTGTATGATGTATATTTGTCAATGTGCTCAATTGCCCAACATGATGGTTGTTTAGTCTGATATTAATCTTAGAGGTTTAGAAAACCAATATAGTTTGAATAGAATGTGGGGTTGACTTTAGATCACCAAGGGAGTTTTCCTACGAGCTTATACATTTTGAGGTGAAGATAAAAATTTGATACTCCCTCTGTCCCTTATAATTTTGACAACTTTCCTTTTTTGGATGTCTCATTAACTTTGCCACTTTCATTTTTAAGTAAAGAATTTGTGGTTTCAGTTAATTCTCTCTCCTCTGCACAAACCTCAATCACATAGTTTTTACTTTATCAATCTTTGTGTCAGTCACAATTGGCAAAATTATTAGGGACGGAGGGAGTATTTTGGGAGATTTACATTCTGTGGGGGCTGGGGCTGGGGGATTTTACATTCAACAAAGTGTTGACTCTAGCATATTGTTTTTTAAATAGTTACAAAAGATTTGAAAATGTAGGTAAGAGTGTAGTATCATGGACCCTGCCTATAAGATGTGTTTATTGAGTTTATTTTATTTGATCACTTATCTGATTGCATTGTCTTTAATTTGTAGCCGTGCGTGTTATGTTGAAGACCAAAGAGAAACATTTTAAAGACACCTATACATGTACCTCATCGACTAGATTATTATAAAATATATAACCTCACATTCTCAAATTCTTATCAAGGGTTGGGAAAGAACCGGCTATAAGGGTAAGGCACCTAGGCATATGCCTTGGGCCCCTTTAGTATATGGGGCACTAAATTTTCAAATAACAACTATTAATGTTATGAGTATTTGTTATACATGATAGCATTCTATCACACCAACCAAAATGAAAAAGAAAAAGTAGTAACTACGGAGTATAGAAAGGTGTCTTGCGGGTTTGTCTGGATCATTTATGAGAGCAAAATTTAAAATTATGGTCAAGTTTATTTCTTGCTATATTACATAAGAGAGCAAAATCAATAGGAGTATTATTTCTCACATACTTTACTAAATTTCTATACATACCACCAGGCCACCATTACACAAATCGATCAAAGCCAAAACTCAGGTAGAAAAATAGATCTTTTTGAGCATATAAAAGGCTATTTTTCATAACAATTACGAAGTATGATATACCTAATTATAATTTAATACTAAACTATTTTTATTTAATACAATGTTTATTCTATGACAAGCAAAAAGAGTGAAATATTTGGGGTATGTTTGACACAACTAGCTGAAAAGATACTTTTATGAGCTTTTTAATAACTGTTAGCTTTTAGTGACTGAAAAGATCTTAAAAAGGAAAGGTGGTAGCTGTTTGGTAAAAAGTTGACTATTTGATTTAGTTCGGTTTGGTATACAAGTTGTTAGGACTAATTAATACTAAAAGTCACGGGCTTTTTTCAGATGCTACTCTCTGTAGCATCTCAAAAAAGATCTTTTAATTTTTGAAAAGCTTTTAAAATTTTAATGTCAAACATATAACTAGAAGCTTTTAGAGACTTTTTGAACAATACAAAAGATAGAAGACAGACTTATGCCCGCCAAACATAGGGATATGTTTGGCACAACTAGCTAAAAATATACTTTTGTGAGCTTTTTAGTAACTGTTAGCTTTTAGTGACTGAAAAGATCTTATAAGGAAAATGTGGTAGTTGTTTGGTAAAAAGCTGACTATTTGATTTAGTTCTGTTTGGTATACAAGCTGTTAGGACGAATTAGTACTAAAAGTCACGGGCTTTTCTCAGATGCTACCCCATGTAGCATCTCAAAAAAGATCTTTTAAATTTTGAAAAGCTCTTAAAAATTGTCATGCCAAACATACAACTAGAAGCTTTTAGAGACCTTTTGAACAGTACAAAAGCTAGAAGGTAGAGACTTATGTCTGCCAAACATGCTCATAGCCTTGGTGGTTCTAAAGATAAGGCTAAAGAAACAAAAACCAACTACCGTAACCAGGCATAGATTTCGGTGCTTCTAAATTTGTATTACCAACATACATATGATATGATTCAAAATTTTATTACAAAAGTTTTAAGAGTTGTTTTAAAAATATTATCGAAATAAAATTTATTTACAAAAATATAACGGTCAGCTACTACGGTTTAATCTCATAGTCAGTTAATTAAGTGCAAAAAAATAAACATAAGTTACTATGATGAAGTTACTACTATAGTCACTAATCACATTTTTATAAATTACATTTATTTCGTCATATATATATATATATATATATATATGTAATTATTTCTATTTTTAATTACTAACCTACAATTTAAGTATTGATGGTATTTTATTTCAATCAATTACCCCAATATGATTTATTTTGTGAAAAGATGAATGTCACTTACTAATATGATAGGGTAATTTTAATTTTCGTCTAGGGCACCAAAATCCCCAAAGACGGCCCTGGGTCGGGACATATCTACCATGGTGTATGATGATACTCACGCATGGTGCTAAGGTTATATATACCTGGAAATGGCGATGCACATTTATGTTGTTGCCACATGTCACAAAATTAAATACTATAAATATGAACTTTAGCCACTGTAAATCTATATTCAACGTAACTTCCAAAGAATGAGCAAAATAGTGCAAAATGTCTCCAAAAGTAACTTATATCCAAAAAAGTTTCATGTCTTTCAAATAATGCCATCATCTTTTGTTTTTGAAGATTATGATATAATCACCATCAACTATCACCCTTTTCATTTTCTTTGAATATCATAACAATGGATCACATCATCCTCATTCATTTAACTTTTAGAATTAAGGATCTTCAATCACATTTACAACACGAGTTACATTAGTTGGCCTTTATTTACTTCGTATTAGGGTTTTTAAGTCAACAATACTATACACTGATTGCTTAATTAATTCTTGTTAGAACTTTTATTGTGGGTCAAGTTTGTCTTTAATGTCTTGTTTGAATAAAGTAGACTAGTTATACCATTTATGGTATTAGATTAGTATTTATTATGTAGCAAATAAGGTAAAGGGAATAAGGCCCAAAAAGGCCTTGGCCCAACTTCCAAGGTTTACCTAAATCGGTAACCTGTACAGCGCCTATAAATATGCGCCTTGTGTATAGGTACCGATATCGATCAATACACATTAGCCTTACGCTGCCAAATTTACCTCTCGATACTACAGAAAGAAGGTTTCACTGTTCTCGATAAATCGTATATCATTATATGAAATCTTTCTCTTCTGTCTATCGATGATGCTCATCTAGCTGATCGTTAGTCTGCTTAACCGGGACCAACAACTGGTATCAGAGCCTGCTCGAGTGTGATCGTCGAAGAAAAGTTTTCGAAGTTTCTCTGTTTTCATACTTTTCGATATTTTTTTTTTGTAATCACTGTAATCTTGTTTCTGATCGATAAACTGTAAAAGTTATATCATTGGATTCGCCATTCAGAAACGAACCAAGGGTATATCTTACTTTTCGATTTCAGTAGATTCGGTATTTTTTATTTCTCGATAGTATGAGTTCGAAAAGCAGGGTTCTCGACATTTAAGCAGGTTTTTCAGGACGATAACTATACAGGAAGACTCTCGAGATCGAAAACTTCACAGAAAAGTTGTTTAAACTGTTTTAATTTGAAATTTTGATTTGCAGGATTCCGATACTACGTTCTCGATACAAGTTCTCGAACTGAGTTCTCGAGATTGCTTTCTCGACACTCAGTTTTCGATACTAAATATCTAAAACTCTGTTTTTTCGAATTGCAGGTTCTCGATACAGCTTCTCGACACTCAGTTCTCGAAACTAAGTTCTCGAACTTAGCTTCTCGATACTGAAGTTCTCGATACAGCTTCTCGAATCCTGCTTCTCGATAAACAGTTTCTCGATATTCACTATCGAAAACTGGTTCTCGATAGAACTTCTCGAACCCTAGTTTTCGAATTTTTTCTTGAATTAGGTTTTCGACATTCTGCATCTTAAATTTTTTTTTCTGATCAAAACACTCGACCGATCTTTTAAGGCTCAATCAGCAAAGATGGAAGCATTAGCACTTGGAAATGACAACAGACCACCCATCCTCAGAAAAGGAGAATATCAGATGTGGAAGACAAGATTCTTG